GGCCCACGTGAATTCCCACTAATGAAACAATAAATCTGAACCATTCATCTAATAAAAATGAATGGTGTTAGATGAGTTCTCATTTTAAAATGATTCTCATCTAAGCCATGTGTTCTCATATGATCCTATTTCTATATATATAAGAATCCAATGTTATATATAAATAAATCTTAGCCCTTTATTAGCTTTGATCTAATCACTCAAATTAATCTTATTAATGGCATTTACGTAATATTAAGATCTTATACTACCAAAAAAAATTTCCCTTTCAAACAAAACTACGTTGTTTTATATCTTTAACGCTGCTCCCCCCCCCCTCTATCTCCTCACGCTACCTGCTTCTCTCTTCTCAGCAACCGAAATTTCATCAGATTAATCAAAAAAATTCTCAACTTTTGGATAAATTATTGTAAGCTTATTAATTGTTTCATAATTCTATCTTTTGTTCGATTTTTTAAGCGATTTTATTTGTCAAATGTATCGATTTTGCCCTGATTTATTTTTGCGATTTTTATGCTTGGTTTTGTTCATTTTGTATGGTCGAATTTTCATTTATGCGATTTTGTATGCTCGATTTGCGATTTGTTTTACTGATTTTTTGTTTTATTTTGTATGCTCAATTTTGGTTATTTTTTTTTTTCTGATTTCCTGATTTTTGCGTTTTTCTCCTGATTTTTTTTTGATTTTTTTTTTTTTTTTTTCTTTGTGTTTTTATGCTCGTTGTTATTATTTTTTACTATGATTTCTTTTTCCATTACAGTATTATTCTTTCAAATTTTTTTTATTGCATATGTGTTTGATTATAGAGCTAGGTTCTTGGGTCCCATTTTTTATTCCTGCAAACTAAGTATGAGGAGACTAGCCGAGTTGCTAATGATGCAGTTGGAAGTATTAGAACAGTTGCATGTTTCTGTGCAGAGGAGAAGATAATTCGATTATATGAAAAGAAAATGTTGGATTTTAACTTGCTTAGTATGTGTGATGAGAAGAGAAAAATTATTTAGAACAAAGCAATGGTGGATTTAATACTTATGTTCTAAAGTTTCTTTATATGTTCTTAAGTTTTTCAATCTATGTTCTAAAATTATCTTACTATATTCAAAAGTTTACCTTATATGTGCAAAGGTTTATACGTTCTTATCTGCCATCAGTTCAGCAAATAACCATGATTCCTCTTAGTTATCATGTTTAGACAGATAATTATTTTCCTATGCATCTCACTGATGGCCTACAGCTAGTGCAAAGATTTGGTTACAGCAATGTATGGATGTCAGATATGCTGGAGGTTGTTCAAGATAAGCCATCAACAAGCATGTTAATGTTAAATCTTTTACTCATATTAGGAGAGCGGGGAATATCGTTGCTCATTTAGTTAGTTTTTATTTAATAATCGTTAATCATTTCAAGCCAATTTTTTGTTCATATAGCTTAGTGCTAATTTGATTTATTTTCATGTTTTACTTTTAAGTTATTATAGTTTACTTTCAAAAGTTTTTTAGTATTTTATAGAGATAACCTATGTAGGAATCGAACCTACATCCTCTATGCATTTGCATAATGCTCTACCAGTTGAGCTGATAGGTTTTAGCATATGTTCTTTTTTCTTTTTCATTGTTCTAAAATTTAACGTAAATGTTCTAAAGTTTTTGCAAATACTTTAATTTTTTCAGCTTATGCTATTTTATATGTTTTAAATTATTTTCCTATCATCTAAATTTTTTTCACCTTATCTTCTAAAATCTTCACCCTATGTTCTAAATTTCTTCCCTATGCTCTACATTTCTTCCCTATGAGGTTATGATCTGAATTTTTTCACCCATTACTCTAAATTTTTTTGTCTATGCTCTGAATTTTCCCTATGCTCTAAATCTTTCACCGTGTGTTATTAATTTTTCAGTCCGTGTTCTAGATTTTTCCCTATATTTTGAATTATTTCACCCTATGTTTTAAATTTTTTTTATCTATGTTCTAAATTTCTTTCTCATGTTCTAAATTTCTTCTTATGTTATAAATTTTTCTCTCTATGTTCTAAATTTTCTCTTTAAGTTTTAAATTTTTCTATCTATGTTCTAAATTTTTTCACCTTATGTTTTAAACTTTTTTCCTATATTCTAAATTTTTTCACCCTATGTTCTAAACTTTTTTCACGCTATATTCTAAATTTTTTTCCTATGTTTAAAATTTTTTCATCCTATGTTCTTAACTTTTTTCACCCTATATTCTAAATTTTTTTCCTATGTTCTAAATATTTTCACTCTATGTTCTAAACTTTTTGACTATGTTCTAACTTTTTTTTTTTCATGTTCTACATTTTCTTACTATGTTCTAATTTTTTTTTTCTTATTTGGAAATTATTTTCATATGTTCTATATTTTTTCACCCTATGTTCTATGCTTATGTTCAAACTTTTTTTCTTTCCTAGTACTAAATTTAGGCTACAACAATTTTGTAGGAGCGATATTTGTTCTAAATGTCTGTCAAACTTATGTAACAAATAACATTTCTCAAAATTCAAGAGTAGGGAGAAGACATATATCAATAGTTTGTTGTAAAGTAGAAAAATTCGAAAAAAAAATGCAAATATATCTTATTCTCGAGTTAGTTCTAAACAACAATAAGCTTAATAGGGTAAAATCAAACATAATTATGCAATTTCCATTACAAAATCAAACATAAAATAAAAAATCAAAAATAATTGATGCAATTTCATAACAAAAATCTCTGAAAAGTCAAAAAACGAACAAAATTGATGTACCTAATTGCTGCAAATTCAAACCTCAATTCGAAAAAAAACACTAAATATTTTTTTAAAAAAAAAAGCTTAAAATTTAACATTAAAATCGTTGAAAATTCGTGAAAAACCGAACAAATCACTGTACAAAATTTCAGTAAAAGAAAGAATACAAATGATAATAATTGAATAACAAACCATCAAGAATCTAGGGTTTATATTTGCAAAAATTCTACTGAGATCGAAAAACAAAATAACAAATCTAAAAAATGTATAGATGAAAACAATGATTTCTAACAAAATTGAAGGAATATTTAACGAAATCGAAGGAATATATACCTGAATTTGAAAATTGCGAAATCTAGGGTTATATCGCAAATATTTGTACTTTTCTTGAATAATTTGACTTGTTTTATGATCCTTGTTGAATTTATGCAAAAAAATGAGGAAAAAAAGTTGAAAATCCTTCAAATTGTAGTGTTGGTAAAATAACTGTTGAAATCAATAATGAGGAAATTTGTCTTAGTGTTTTTTGATGATATTTTGGTGTATAGTAGGAATGACTTGGAGCATAGAGAGCATGTGAGGAAGGTGTTGGAGGTGCTTGCTAAAAATGAATTGTATGCCAATCTAAAGAAATGTGAGTTTGGGAGAATGGAGGTGGCCTACTTGGGCCATGTCATTTCGGCTAAGGGGGTGGCCATGGATGGAGAGAAGGTTGAGGCAATCTTGCAATGGAAGGTGCCTCGAAACTTGAGGGAGCTACGTGGATTCCTTGGACTTACCGGGTACTACCGAAAGTTTGTTCTACAATATGCTCAAATTGCGAGTCCCCTAACGGCCAAACTCAAGAAAGATGGTTTTTGTTGGACGGAAGAGGCTACCCGAGCCTTTGAGGCTCTCAAAAGGGCCATGATCACGGCTCCCGTTCTAGCCATGCCCGATTTTACCAAGGAGTTCGTAATTGAAACGGATGCTTCCGGGTTTGGAGTTGGGGCGGTGATGATGCAAGGTGGGCGACCCATAGCCTACTATAGCAAACTACTTGGTGTTAGGGCACGAGAAAAATCGATATACGAAAAGGAGCTCATGGCCATAGTTTTTGCTATCATCAAATGGAGGCACTATCTCCTTGGTCGGCATTTCATTGTGAGAACCGACCAACAAAGTCTTCGTTACATTACCCAACAAAGGGAGGTGAGCAGCGAATATCAAAAATGGATGCGAAAATTAGTGGGGTTTGATTTCGAAGTTCAATATCGACCCGGAGCGTCCAACCGAGTAGCCGATGCACTATCACGAAGGGATCACTACTTGACTCAATTGAACACTCTGACTTGTTTCCAGGAAGTGGAATGGGAAAAATTGAAAGAAGAAATGAAAGCCTGCAAGTGGCTGGCCCAAATACATGTGGGCTTGGAAAAAGGGGAGGGGAACTTGGTGGGGTTTCATCTAGATGCTGGGTTCGTAAAGTATAAGGGTAGAATAGTGCTCCCTCCCACCTCTACCTTCATCCCCAAGCTGCTTAATGAGGACCACGATTCTCCGGCTGGTGGTCACGAAGGAGAAGTCAAAACGTACCTTCGAGTCGCCGCCGAATGGTTTTGGGTGGGGATGCGACGACAGATTGGGGACTATGTGCGTCGATGTGAGGTTTGTCAGCGAAAAAAGAGCTCCCAACAAACACCGCTAGGGCTGTTACAACCCTTGTCGGTGCCGGAACGAGTATGGGAGGATGTGTCGATGGATTTTGTTGAGGGTCTTCCCCTATCTAAGGGTGTGGACTCGGTGTTGGTCGTGGTGGATCGCCTTTCGAAATATGCTCATTTTATTGGGTTGAAACACCCATTCACGGCGGTCAAGGTGGCTGAGGCTTTCACGAGGGAGGTAGTCCGATTACATGGAGTTCCGAATTCCATTGTCTCTGATCGGGATAAAGTTTTTCTGAGTGGATTTTGGAGAGAACTTTTCCGGTTACAAGGGACGCAACTCAAACGGAGCACATCCTACCACCCCCAAACAGACGGACAGACGGAGGTGGTTAACAAGGGGCTGGAGGTATATCTCCGATGTTTCATCGCAGGGCAACCGAGGAATTGGGCATCTTGGCTGCATTGGGCAGAGTATGCGTACAACACTTCGCCACACTCTTCGACCAAACTAACACCCTTTCAGGTGGTCTATGGGCGTTCCCCTCTGCATATGGAAAGTTGGGGCTGGTCAAACTCCGGTCAGTTCGATGGAGGTTCAATTACAAGAACGAGATCTAATGCTGGATGAATTGAAGGTTAATTTACTCAGGGCTCAACAAGTCATGAAGGGGTATGCCGATAGTAAGCGACGGGAAGGACAATTTGAGGTTGGGGATTCGGTGTTCTTGAAGCTACAGCCGTATCGCCAGAAGTCACTGGCCATTCGCCCAAATGAGAAGCTTGCGGCTCGATATTACGGACCATTCACGGTAGTGGGGAAGGTGGGTAAAGTGGCTTATCGCCTGGACCTTCCACCGACATCCCGAATTCACCCTGTGTTCCACATCTCCCAACTCAAGAAGGCGGTGGGAGATATATTGGTTAACCCCACAATTCCGATTCAATTGACCCCTGAAATGGAAATGGTGACCGAGCCCGAGGCCGTTCTAGATTCTAGGAAGGTGGCTGTGGGCAGGGGTGTACGGGTAGAGGTATTGATTAAGTGGCAAGGGCTGCCGGAATTTGAAGCCACGTGGGAAGATAGCAAGATGATCATTGATCGATTTCCGGCCTTCCACCTTGAGGACAAGGTGAATCTCGAGGGGGCGGGTATTGTTGTGGATCCAAACACAGGTCAACGAATTCAGGTGTACACCCGGCGGCCGAGGCAACAACAGCAACAACACACAGGACAGCAGCAGTACACAGGGCAGCAGCACCAATTCAGAGTGGAAGCAGACAGCAGCAACTCAGGGCACTAGGCAACAATATATAAGAAGCAAGTCTACTTTTTGGAAGAGACCATTTTGAGCAAGGCAACAAAAGGGAGCAGCTATTTCACTAATTAAGCAAGAAGACTTTAGGCTCTCATTTCATTACTTTTGTTTTATCTAATTTTAGATGTAAGAAGGCAAATTGTAGTAGCCTCAAGCTACTTGGATACTCATGGCCTCAAGTCATGTTTTGTAATGCACCTCCTATAATTCAATCGTATAATCAATCAAGTCCTTGCTTAGCTAAATTACAATTTCAATTGTTGATTCTATTCTTAATCGTTCACATCCTATTCTAGTACACTGCCGAATTTACAATTAATTCGGGAATTTATTGGAGAAGTGCCGTGCGAGTACAGTAGGCAGCCTGAGGGGAGGTGGAACCTGGCCGGAAAAGTCAGTTCCTGCCAGGTTACTTCAAATGATCAGTTGAATACATAGAAAAGTAACTTATGTACAGTATTATTGTGTTCGTTGTATTAGCAAGGTGAGCTATCACTAATGGGGGGTTTAACATTTTAGCTACCACTGATAGGCCATTATTAATACAAACAATTTCATGAATATCTCTGTAAACAGTCTGACAGTGTTAGTCTGTCATTAACAACTGAATCTGCATTTAATATTTGTTTTTAGATAATCCCTCTGATTGTAGAAATTTTGAAGGAGTGAAAGGGAATATGCGAGGACTTGAAAAGAAGAGCGTGACACTAGAGAAATGTGTTTCTTACCAAGAGCTCCTTCCCGTAGGAGGGGCTTGGCAGATTGCAGCTTAGCTCCAAGAACATCAATCCACTCGTAACTTCTGGTAGTTCCTCTCCACGCCACATAAATCTCTCTCCTCCCCATTTCCCTACTCACCTCATCATTAGAAACTGCAATATATCCCATCCAGTTTGACTCCCTATCCCACCTCTCACGTGACAACGACTTTAGAAGAGAGGCCTCAGGAACACTAATCCGAGCTGTGGTATAAAGGAAGCCAACAACATCATATTTCTGCCCACCACCTGGGAAGCCAGTCTTGCAGAGGAGGTTTGACATGGCGTAGCGGCTGCAGCCACAGTAGGCAGAGTTAGGATCGTTGATGAAGGTGTCGTAGGTGACTTGGCAGAAGTCACCACACCGGATGATCAGACGACGGAGATCATCATTGAGTGGGTCTAGAAGGTCTTCCCAGTTTTTGGACCCTAGAAGGTTGTGCCATGTTGGGCCACATTCTGAAAGTCCTAATTCTTCTTCGGCCATATGAAAGGGCTGAGAGGGGAAGGGGTGGTTTTGCTGATGGGTGGGGAGACTTTGGGAGAGAAGGTGGTGGAGATGTTATATGTTGATGATGAGTATAGAGTTGATTTAGATGATAAATATTGCAGACCCGTTCCCTGTTGACTAGTGAATATATGGGCTATAGTACCCTGTTTTCTAATCAGTCATGAGTAAAATTATGCTAGAATCTATACTTCAGTAATAAAAAATCTATTATCTGAACACTTCCTTTTGACATTGTATTGCCATTATATGCAATATATAATATACAATTAAAGTATTTGTTTAAAATATTTCTACTGTAAAACTTAAGTGTGTGTTTGTGTAAAAATAAGTACAAGTAGTAATTAAAAAGAAGATGATGAACATAGATAATTTAGCTACCACCAAAGGACTGAGATTATTTTTGCAATGGTGAAATCATTTTTTATTTTGATTTATTGTGCTTTGTTAGTTTAAGTTGATTTGGCCATTCCTTTAGTGTCCAGATGTGGTCTAACGGTACAAGTTAAAAAGTTTAGATACTTTGAGCTTATAGAGTTAATAGTACGTACTTCTGTCAAAGATGAAATTAAAAAAAAGGTAAGAGTACTATCAGAGTATCAGTATCAGACCATCAGTTGTAAGTAAGATTTGCAGCTCAAAATGTGTCTGGGGCATAACTCGCATAAGTGACCAAAAGAAGTGCCCAGCTCAATAACCAATTAGTCACGACGAGTTTGTTGAAATCAATCCCTTTAGTCCTTTACTAAACCCAAATCGAGTCAAATACTGCTCTTTTTTCTGTTGCTAAAAAGAGATATCTTCCCTCTCAGTTTCGAACATGATGATGAATATGAGGTCTGAAAGGCTGCAGGTACACCATGGATCCTGTAACTCCCAATTGGGTTGCCAGTAGGTTGTTATGTGCCTTGAGATGTATAGTATATGACCAAGATATAGTGAACTCCTTGGTCTCGTGGTGTTACCTTTAGGTCGATATGTGCCGTGAGATGTATAGTATATGAATACGATAGAGTGAAAGGGTCCACTCCGAAACCAAGAGGGTATTAACAGTTGAGTCCTCTTTGAACTGCTGGAAGATAATCTCCCAACTTCAAGACAGGAAGTATTTTAGCAGAAACCTTTCTTTCAATCCTAAAAAATTGGGAGATTAATATACTATACATTTCTTTTTTCACTAGTAACATAAAAAAGTTAGTTTCCTTTTCTTCATTCCTTCCCCTTTTACCCCCCTCTCCCTTTTCCCAACCAAAGTAATATACCACCAATCAAACAAGGATATGGCTTCTATAAAAGTTCCTGTTTCTTCCTCGTATCCCCTTAAACACCAGCCGAATTGGGCAACAACGCTGACATTGTATTTAACCTCTCAAATGTGACTTGATCACCACTCTCCATGTCTCTCACTAACTAAAGTGACAAAGCACCATTGACGCCTTTCAAAACCATCTTTAAACACGAGGATGGGGATATGTGATTCGATTAGTTCCTCACGTCTTCACGGTCTTCACCAGAGGCTTGACTGCAAAATTATCACAAGTAACAAAATATAGAATTTATCTTTCCTCAACATTTTAATATTTCAAAATTTTGGTTTATTTAATACACTTGCACGTACAATGATTACATTGACACAGGCAACAATGGGATAACATTTCATTTCATATATACTCTGTATATTCTTCATACATGTATCCAACTTCATGGTTTTGTGGGTCATCCATATTCAACAAGCTTGCCGTGTCTTTGACTTGCTCGCCTAATGCATTGTGCCAATTAAAAACTTTGCTTATATACTCCACATTATCTTTTACCGTGTCAATTGGTCAATTAACATCATATACTACGACTAGCAAGTGTTTGAATCAGTTGGTAAGAGAGTTGTTTCAGCTTAACTAAAGACTTAGAATTTAGTAAGCTTGAATTACTAAATATGCTTAGCATAAAAAAAAAAAGATCAAGTACTATGATACGCTGCTAAAGATTTGGATACAATAACCATTCACAAAAGCAAGTCAATATTTTAATCTCCGATCAAAGCAAGAAAAATGAAGTAGTCATACACCACAAGTTAAACACTACATTGCACCACCAAATCTCACTTTGAAAACATTTTATTCATGAAAAACCTCCAATTAGATTTGGTTAATCATATTCAGGAACAGGAATTTCCTCAGGACCAGCCAAAACCCATTCTCCTTGCTCATTCAACACCATTCCTTTGTTCTTCTCAACCCACCAAGATGGAGGCACAAGACACTCCTCCTTAAGGTAATCACATGATTTATTAACCAAAGCGATACTCCGTTCAACCATGAGCCGGAACTCTTCCTTAAGCCCTTGCCAACCATTCACAATATGTAACATAGCTTGCAAGTTATGCCAATCACCAACATGTCTTGAGGCTTTAAGGAATGGTGATTTCCTTGAATCGATCTCTAGCTCGATTCCTATGTGTACGTACCCCATAAGCCTTGCAGGATAAAGTGGAATTGTGTCGATCACATTTCTAACGTGAAGGATCTTGAGATTAGGGTGTGCGTCAACTCTTTCCTTGAACCGCTTGTTGCCTACTTTAGGGCAACCGAAAATGATGGCTGAGACCTGAATTTCCCTCGTTACGTTCTCAGCAATGTCGAAAGCACTTAGAACTGATAAGGTTGCTCCTAGGCTATGACCTGTGAATATGATGCTAAGGTCTTCATCTTTGTACTGCTCAACTAGTTGTTTGATCTTGTTTAGGAGTTGTGCTCTTGTACTAAGTTTTGTGAAGGGGGATTTTGGATCGTCGGATGTGTAAATTGTAAGCCAACCCTGCATAACTTTGGGCTTCCTATGTACGCCTTCATCATCATCATTCTCATCATCTCCGTTCTCATCATCTCCATTCTCATGGTGGTCTGTTGAAAAACTAAAAGAATTAGAAATAATGTATCAAATATAACTTGACATAGGTAAATAAATGACAAAAAAAATGTCTACTAGGCTTCCTAGGGTGAATATGTTGCTACACGTATTTATATTCCCTGGTTAGTAAGAAGAACTGATTTGTCATTGTGAAACCACTCATAAAGCGATACCTCATCTACCAACTCGAATAAATAGGCTAGACAGTTTGAGAATAGGGAGAAAGGATAAGGTAATTCCTACCCCCACTCAAAGTGACCTTAGCTTAATCACTCTATTGCTGTGTACCTTTTTCATTATAATGCAAAAAAAACTTTAATGAAACTTTTAATATAATATGTTCTTCGTTGAGTGCTAGATGGCTAAATGCTCCTTATATAAACAAATGAAATAGATTTTAGTGTATTTAGTGGCTCTTTTAGTTTGGTGTTACGTGCTATCCACTTTTTTGGTTTTGTGTTTTTTTTTTTTTTTTTTTTTTTTTGACACGACATGCTATCCACTTACAAAGTTACAAATGTACATCATAATCTCAAGGGATTTCCCTTTGCCTTTCTCCTCCCCGGCTCTTGAAGTGTCTAAGCTAATCTCCACCTATGAGGAATTCCAACTCGGTAGGAATTTAATTACCCACGGTAATTAAAGTTTGGTTTTTTTTTTTTTTTTAAGTGCCTCACTTTTTATAAATGACCGTTTTTTTTAAGTGTCTTATTACCAAAAGTGAAAACCATACTCACATTATATGTTATTTCTCTCTCTTCCTTTTAACCCCATTATCATTTTATAATATTTTCTCTCTCACATCAATCCCAATGGTCCCCATTCATAGCGCTGTCGATACGACACGACAACCCAACATGGATTCGACACGAAATAAGCGGATTTGGGTCAAGAATTCTCAACCCGTTTATATAATTGGGTTGACACGAACACGATACGGAATTAAACGGGTTAGGATTGGGTTGAAATTTTCAACCCGAACCCAACACGCTTAATCTATCAATTAAGTAGTACAAAACAGATTTTTTTTTCAAACCATGTAATTTTGTAAATTACCTTGACACCGTATACATTTTGGTAATTTTTTGGCTGTTAATTTGGCGAAAAAATTATAATTTTCCATCTTTGGAAATAATTAAAATTTAATTTGGCGGTTAATTTGAGACAATTTTTTATGTATGGTTGTATTGTTAAAACTACTAGCTTTAAACCCTTATGGTATCTTTTGCTAAAACTACTAACTTTAAACTGTAGTAGTATCTTTAATGAATTAATGATGTCTGTCTTTTTTATTTTTGAATCGAATATTAATTAGTTTATACATATTATGTGGGTAAGAGGTTATCCAGGTAACCCGTTTAATAAGCGTGTTAGGTTTGGGTCAAGTATTTTCAACCCGTTTATTAAACGGGTTAGGTTTGGGTCAAGGATTTTTCAACCCGTTTAACATCGACCCGAACACGAACCCAACACGACACGACCCGTTTGACAGCCCAACCCATTCATATTTCTCTCTCTTACTTTTCCAAATTTTTTATTCTTAATCATACCCACTTATATAATATTTTATTCTTTTACCTAATATTATGTGCCCAAAGGTATGTGGCACTAAAAAAACGGCGGAAGTAGCGTTTAAAATGATAAGATTTTTTTTTTTTTTTTTTTTAATTTTACGGGACAACAAGCACCTTCAATAATATTTAAGTCAATATGTTATTTTGATTATCATTTCAAGAAGGCTAGTAAAAATTTATTTTATCAATCTAAATCTTAAGAAATTCAGAGTATTGAAATAGCTAGTTTTAAAAAGCATTTCATTTAATCAGCTAAATTTGAAAATTTCATCACCTTCAAATTTTCAACTGCTAGCTAGATGTGAAACCATATTGTTTTAATGAGTGCTTTTTAACCAAAACAGACAAATTTTACCAACCTTTCAGCATAATTTTACCACTTGATAAATTTAATTTCACATTTAGAAGGAAAATATCTTGTCATGTGGATATTATAAATGTTTGAAGATATTTTATACTTGTATGATTCTTCAAAAACGTGAGGAGTAGCAACTAGCAGCCATGCCATGATAACGACCCAAACTAACTGGTAAAAAAGTACCAATTAGGTAAGGCCAACGCCAATGACATTTCATAATGCTGTTTTTGTTATTAAAAGAACGCTAATTAAATTTGTATTATGGTATTAATTTATAGTTATTCTAATACTTCCTCCACTTTAATGTTTCCTTCGTCCATTAAAGCTTACTTCATCTTGAATTTTCACTTTTTTAAAAGTCGTATTAATTAAAGATGGTAGAGGCTTCTATAGGGCTAAGTAAGGGTAACCTTACAAGGCTAATAACTCAGGTCTACGTATAAGATGGAAATTAAATCTAACTGGTTATGTTCAAATAATTTTAAATGAAGAGAACACATCATAACTAGAACTTTTCACCTTCACTAAATTTTTCTGTAATTACTACTACTTATTAAAATTGTCTATCACTTTGTCTTCTCTCTGTCACTAAATCTAATTAAAGCTATGTTTGAAAATTTAAACATACATATAAAACAAAGATATTTTTATAATACAAGCATAAAAAAAATTCAACAGTAAAAAATTTCATGAATTCTCATTATAAGTTTAATCTCCTATCAATGCAAACACTAAAGCCAAAGTAGCTAAAACTGTGGCCATATTTTCTTACATTATTGTCTATGCCAGATAATATTGACACATTAGCCAATTAGCAATCACACCTTTATTTCTTTTCTTAAGGGCAAATTTAGAATTTAAGGCTGTAATTAAAAACCATAGTAGGAAAAATTAGAGTCAAAAGAAACCTATCTGTTGCCAGGATATAAAGGTGATAAAATGTACGGAGTATCTTATTTACTAACTAGTTATACAAAACTAAAGGTTTATTTATTTATTTTTTAATTTATTGTAATCCAATAATATGAGTAAAATACTTGCAATAAAAATAAATGGTTTAGACATTTTTTTTACTTGACTTTTGGATTTTTGTTCATTTCGTATATTCAATGTAAATGCTAAAAAGAAAATCATCCAAAAAAAAATAAAAAATAATAATAATAATTTTGCTCTTAAGTCTTACCATGAGATCCCTCCGCAAGCAAAGACTTAGCAGACTGTAGTTTAGCACCAAGAACATTAATCCACTCATAATTTCTTGTAGACAGTCCCTCTCCATGCTACATATATTTCTCTCCTTCCCATCTCTTGACTCACCTCATCATTCGAAACCGCGATATAGCCAATCCAGTTAGACTCCCTATCCCACCTCTCACGCGACATAGACTTGAATAAGAACGCTTCAGGAACACTAACACGAGCCGTGGCATACAAAAACCCTACGACATCATACTTGTTCGAACCACCAGGGAAGGCGGTTTTTTTTAAAAGGTCTGACTTGGCGTAGCGACTGCTGCCACAGTAGGCAGAGTTAGGGTCGTTGATGAAGGTGTCGTAGGTGACTTGACAAAAGTCGCCGCATTGGATGATCAGACGACGGAGATCGTCGTTGAGTGGGTCTAGAAGACCTTCCCAGTTACGGGACCCTAACAGGTTGTGCCACGTGGGACCCTCGTCTGAGAGCCCTAGCTCTTGTTGTTCTTGTGATGCCATTCGGTTTGAGAGAAAGTGGTAGTAGTGGTGGTGTTGGTATTATTGATGATTGATAGTTGGACTAGTATTTTTTGAGAGAGGAAATATGATTTTGGTTGACTTAGTTTGAGAATATTCTCTCTCTTTGTTTAAATTTCTTATATAGTTTTTAAAATTAGCGAAATCCTGCAAATTTGTACAATATAGTGCTCTGGCTTTAAGCCTCTTAACTGTAGTTTATAATAATGATAATGTGGAAATTATCTATGGTTATGATGTAAATGCTAAAAAAAAGTTGACGGGAAATAGGCATTTGTTGTGTTGAAAATTCGCCTGTCCGGATTGTTTTTACTTATTATTATTTTATTCAAATTACTTAATTACTTCATATATAAGTAATACAAATTTCATATTGGTATTACTTAATACTTCAAATGAAGTAATTAAGTAATTTGAAAAAATAATACGAATTTCCTACCTTATTCTGTACTCTCTTTGGCTTTTAAAGTTCCATTAATTTGCATTGTACAAACTAAAAGGTATATAAATAATTACCAAAGATTTCAGGATCATTCATACCATACCTTAAACAACATTTCAACTTATTTTGGGTCAATAGTGTTAAAGATATTAAGAGGTATATCTTGATGTTATCATATCAAACATTATCATGCAATTAAAAATCTTCGATATCATCTTCTGTAATTATTAATGTATCTTTTGATCATGTATATACTGTATACAAGTATTTATCCAGTAAATCATAGAGCCTGAATTAGGTTTACAGTTTATACCTTTGTAACCTTACAAATAGTTGTACTTGTGCCATCTCGCTAATGTTTAAGCTGTCTTATAACTCTGTCAAATAGAACTGATTATGTCAAACTTAGGAAGCATACTTATGCTTATTCTGTAACAAGCTATGCTTTACATTGCTCAACTCAATCCTCTTCTTGCCCCGTTCTAGAAACGATAAATATTAAACTATAGCTTGAATAGTTCATAGGATTACAAACTTAAAGCTATTAGCCCATTCATTTAATTGAGACGAGAACATACTACTGAGTGCAGATATATATGAGTATAGGACTGATTACGGAAGATGCCTAAGAATGAATAATGAGTCAAGTAACAATGAATTTGATCATAAGCAAATTAGATCACCTGATCTACCAGCCATAGGGTTAGTAAAGAACATTTTTTCAAATTGTTTCTGAAGTAGATGTTACACTCGAAGGAGATATACATTAGGCATCCGTGAAAAGAATACAAACATCAAAATATCAGACAACATTATGTTTTTTTTTTTTTTTTTTTACCTTTCTTAAGATCAGATGCTAAGCTGACGACTTTTACAGGTTAAGGCGATCCATCATGGTCAAAGGGATTAGGAGCTGGAGGCGGAGGCTTTGGTGTTGGAATGTAAGGATGTGAAGGAGCACCATGCTGAATAGGTCCATGTTTTACAGAAGCCTTGGAATGACTTGGGCTTGGATCAACAGGGCGATAGTCTTCCAAGCTCACGTCACCATCTGAAATTACCTGAGCAAACTTGAAACCATATCTGATTTCCTGCAAAACAGAGAAGTACATATGCTATTTGTGATTAAAACTAGAATAACAAGAAACAGCTGCTCAACCAGTCAGAAAACACAGGTTAACAAAGCGGTATACCAAAGAAGTTGTTACCTTCAGATTTCTACTTGTCATTGTCATTGTATTGCTATCGACAACCATTATGCCTGTAAAGATGATATGTTATCATAATGATGAACATAATAAGGCTGATGTAAGGGGCGGAAATGACTACTAGCTAGCAAGATGTTTCCAATTCTGGTGCTATTTAAAATGCCAATTGTTGTTATAATTTTGCAGCCAAAGCACCCTTTGGCTTGAAATTAGAGTCTAGGTAACTTAGCTTTGGTGTCATGATTTGTAAATTCAGCTCTGGTGTTGTGATTTGCAAATTCAAGGCTAGCAAACCAAGTGTATCATCTAAAGACTGGTGGACTATATTTTAATGAAGAAATTATTTAGCCAGATTATTGTCCAGTTATCACACCATGCATGTTCTGACTTCTGAGACCAACACAAGGAATACATGCAAGTATGTAGCTAAATTATCAGAGATGCAAGTTACAGCATCTAAACTATATAGGACTCTAGGAGGAACTCAAACACGTACAAGTAACATACACGATTTAGTGTTAAACTGCTTTCTAGTGCCCAACATATTAGTGTTAAAACAAATTAGTGTTAAACTGTTAAATGGAAGAAACAGAAGATGAGGGGGAGGAGGAAAATTTCTCTTGTTTGGGTAAAAAATTGGGGGGAGGAAGGGAAAGGAGAGGGAGGGATCTATTTTCGCTCTCTTTAATAAGCATAATTTCTCCAAAAATGGAGAGATTTGGAGGGAAAATGGAGCTCATCTTTCCTCTCCCTTTATTTTCGCTCCCTTTCCTCCTCTTTTCCTACCCTTCCTTTCTTTCATTCCGTTTTTGCTATCCAAACAAGCATTAGCCATTGTTCAAAAGCTTTTAGTGAACCCTCTAGAGTGAGTTCTTGTTGTATATGGGAGTTTGAGTTCGTAGGAGAGACTCAAGATGTAATGGAGCCGTTGGCCCATTATAGTGGAAAGTTTGAGTCAAAATCTCTCAGGATCGAGGTTTTTCATTAGTTATTGAACCTAGGATGTAAATTTTCTCCTGCAATATTTTTCTTCCTAGCTTTTAAGTTCCTTTCAATTCCGCTAAATTTGGCAATCAAGTTCCATACTAAATTTGGCAATTATGAATTACATATCCTTTTAAGAGTTGTTGCCCAACACATGAATGTAAGTATCAAACCACAAATTTATTCAAAGGAACTACAATTTGCCTCAGGAACCGTCTACAAAGTACATCCATGAGTTAGTCATTTATTTGGATGCAAAGTGATTTAAAAAGGCAGAGGACCGCTCTTATCAATGTATACGACACAAACAACTGAATTTTCAACTAAAAGGAAAATCAATACCAAGTTAATCAAAGAACGCAGACTACTAACAAGAAATGAAGTTCCCATACCTACATCAAAGAATGATTATTTACAACAACTTAAACACAAATTACACAAAGTTTTCATTGTGATAGAGCACAATCTAGTGCTTCAAATGGACAAACAGAGGTCATATTATGATGTTTCATCTCCAAATCTCATTATCATGCAAAATATGAAGTAAAAGTAGTTACTAGAAACTAATATAGATCGATTAATTATACCACTAGAGAAGTTGAATGTCATTAGTAGAACTCCAACAAGCCATAGTGCTAGGCAGAAGCCATAAACTTGCATTTTGAGTTTTCTGTGTTGGAAGATCAAAATAATTAAACAAATGGGAGTGCAAATACAAAATCATACATCTATAAATTTGAAAATACAAATCTTGATAGCGCGATTCAACTAACAATACAACAATTGGCTTCATCCTTTAGGTTCTAGCTTTCCACAACCCTGATAATTACAAGCTAAGCATATTCTCTGTTTTTCATTTGATGATTAAAAATCCGTTATGATGAAAGTTAATACTAAGGGGTTTAATACTTCAGCCAACTACACCTAAAAATGCGGAAATATTCATGAAAGTATGAAACCTAAGTTATTACACCACCTAAGAAATTCAATACAACACAGTCCCATTTAGATAGGAAACAATAAATGGTGACAAAGGTTATGAAACCTAAGTTAATAAACCAACTAACATTTTGTGATTACATTGAACAAAAAATATATTTTTGTAATGACTTGTTAGATTTTATTTTTGATGTACTGTATAATTTAATATTACCGAATATCAATTATTTGTAATATATATAATCTTATTCTTAAATATATTCAAGTTTTAAGGCGCAATATCTGGAAAATGGAGGAAGTACATATGATTCTTCAACGGAATGCATCTAAAACCCAATCAGAAAAATTTGCAATACAAGGAATGAACATCCAATATAAAGTTGATGCCTCACTTTACTAAAATCGCCACCTCTTGAATCCAACGTTAATGGTTATGAAATTACACTGCTCCGTATATTATAACACCATCACAAAACAATTATTACACCAAATTACCACAATTCAATCATTAACTACAAGTATTAAAAGCAAATAAACCTACGCCATACTCAAGTATTAGAAGTTATGACTAAAGTGTCTCGATTATTAAATGGCTAAAACGTTGACCATAAATAATTAATACTCGTATAATTAAGTGGGGTATTATTAGATTCGTATTAAATGGTAAACTTACCTCTAACCGACAAAATTACAGCAAAAATCTGGCCACTGCGAACTGATGCGCGCTAATCCGGTACAAGTTGGAAGTGGCTAGATGATGGGCATAGTGGTGGATAATAAGAGAGGAAATGTAGTATGTATTGCCAAATTCGGATAACCAATTTGATTTTATGCTCTGGAGATTTTCTACAAAAGCAATCCAATAGAATGAATGGCTATCGTCAATCATAACGCCTGATCTACTATGGACTCCGCAGTCCGTACTTGTGCATTGTTAGGACTTAATATGGAAGATGCCTAAGAATGATTATGAGTCAAGTAATAATAGTTTTGATCATAAGAAAATTAGATCACCTGATCTACCATTCATAGGGTTATTACAGAAAATATTTTCATATTGTTTCTGAAATACTAGTACTAGTAGATGTTACACTTGAAGGAGATATACATTGGGCATCCGTGGAAACTGAAAAGAATACAGTTAAGCTGACTGCTGACGACTTTCAAAGGTTGTGGCGATCCATCATGGTCCAGAGGGAATAGGAGCCGGTGGTGGAGGCTTTGGTTTTGGAATGTAAGGATGTGAAGGAGAGCCATGCTCAATAGGTCCATGATCTATAGAAGCCTGACTTGGGCTCGGATCAACAGGGCCATAGTCTTCCAAGCTCACATCACCATTTGAATTTCCCTGAGCAAAGTTGAAATACTTATGTTAAACTGAAAAGAGCAAGAAATGGCTGCTCAACCAGTCAGAAACACAGGTAACGTAACAACGCTGGTATACCAAAGAAATTGTTACCTTCAGATATCTACTTAAAGGTGTGAGGGAGTTGTCGGTCCATTATAGCGGAAAGTTTGAGCTCCATTAGCTATCAAGCTTAGGATATTTTCCTAGTGAAGTTTCTCTTGTATTATTTTTCTACCCAACATTATGTTCCTTTCAATTCTGCAAACAAGCTCCATACTACAGTTCACCCCTTTTCTTATACTTTTGTATATTTGTATCCGAATAACATATTCTTGTAAGGATTGTTTAGTATCCAGCACATGTATTTAAGATATATTGTAGAGTTGAAGTTAAATAGAACTTAAGTATCAAAACACAAACTTATTCAAACGAACTACAATTTATGATGCCTTGAGAACCGACTACTTACTACATCCACGAGATAGCCATTTATAACATGCAAATTGATTAAGAAAGGCATAGGACCATTCTTATCAATGTCTATGAGGACTATGACACAAACAAGTGCTGAAATTCAATGATAATCAAATGAATTACATGTGTGAAGTATATGTGGGCATGCATCAATTTAAAAGGGCATTTAGGGAAATATAATACGAAGTATGTTAAAAGATATAAAGTGGGGGTATTGTAGGTAATTGTATATGAAACAAAAATAAAAATAGATATTTAAATTTGAGATATCCAATTAGAAAAACAGACATTTAATAATGGGACAAAGGGAGTAGCAATTAGTTACCAGAAACTAGTATAGATCGATTAACTATACCACTAGAGGAGTTGAATGTCATTAGTAGAAATCCAACAACCCATAGTGCTAGGCATAAGCCATTAATTTGCATTTTGAGTTTTCTGCGTTGAAAGATTAAAGAAATTATAAGAAAATGGTAGTGCAAAAACAAAATCATTTATTAAATAAAAACAAAAAAAATTAAAGTTTGATAGCATAAATCAACTAACAATTCGAAGTACAATTGGCTTCATCCTCTAGGTTCTAGCTTTCCACAACCCTGATAATTAATTACAAGCATTTTTTTTTTTTTTGATTAAAAAGCCATTATGATGAAAGTAACGTAGCACGTAAATACCAAGGGGTTTAGCCTACAGCCTACTACACCTAAAATTACGGAAATATTTATGAAACCTAAGTTGATACACCGCCTAAGTTAAATATTTGTGGCACCTAACAGATTCATTCAATTCTACAATACGGTTTGTTTAGATAGGAACAATAAATGAGGTCTAATTAATCGTAACATTAAAGGTTCTGGAATACATTAGCAACCAAATTGATTCAATAATCAAATGAATCTTGCTAATAAACGCCTCGTACCGTTAGATAAGCATTTAAAATATTTCCTAAATAGTATTAATTTGGAAATACATGTTAAAAGCACGCGTCAATCAGTGTAATTAGAGCTCATTTTAATTTAGTATTTCTATTTTTAGTTAGCTTATTGGCGTTCGATAGCTTTTGCCTCATCAAATAAAGCTCCAAAAACTCACATAATTTTAGGGATAAAAATGCATATTTGATTCAACTATAAATAAGGCTCATAATTTTCTTTTCAAAGAACAAAGTCGCTAGTTTTCATCTTTCATAATCTTAGTAATTAGAACCAATAATTTTCAAAGCCTAAACTTACTGCACTGACATTTAAATAAAATAAAATCAAAGATAAACCCATGATATAATGATTAACAAAAAGAAACAACTTACCTCAGAAGCTGATTTCAATGGCGGATACAAGTGTTAAGAGGCGCCTCAATGAAGTGTGCTTGAGAGAGAGGAGGATTGTTTTTGTTGTTGGTAATTAGAGCAGTTAAATGGGTTGGAGACCCATCAAAAGCCATGACTACCCCTGTTATAAATACGTCGGATCCGTCCAATAGATAAATTGGGCGCGGGTCTTTGCCCATCTTTATACGGAGTAATTAACAAACTTTGTCGATTAATTTTGCTAGCTCGTCTTTTTTATTGTACATGAGTCAGATTAAACTCATTAAAGACATACACCTGGCCTGTATCTTAACTCTTTTATCACTGTTGATATACCTTACTGACTCCGTTAGTGAAATTAGATTTTTTGGCCTTAACGTGGTTTATTGGACGTTTGTATTTATTACAAGGTAGTTGGTGATTTTGATTTAACTTATAGGACTAGGCTTTGCTTATTGATAAGTTATTTTTATTTGTTTTTTTCATTTTTATCTATTTATATAGGCTTATGCATAGCATTTTTTATAATTATACACTTTCATCCAGCCACAAACATTTTTTTCAACCACACAATCTGGCATTTTGCGAATGAAAAGCTAGAAGAAACTCAATGAACCCGTAACAGTGTTACCTATACATGGATTTGTCTCCGCACAATTGTCGTGATCGAAGTTTCCTGCAGGCGCGAGATTGCTTGTGGGCGCAGGATTCAGGCGAGGGATCTCTTGTGTGCATGCAGAAACATCAGGCCTTGGTGGCCAGGCGCAACAGGTTTGGGCTGCGGGCGCGCGTTTTGGTGGGGATGCCAGTCGGTTTATACGACTTGTTTTGTATTTCCCTCATAACTATAAATACCTTTGAGCCTATTATTTTTGGATATACAAAATACATAGAATATTGTGAACCCCTAAACACAATAAACACAAAAGCCATTCCCATAGAGATCTGAGCATATTTTTGAAGTAATTCCAACCTTTCAATCGGGGTATGGATTTGGAAGGTAGTTGTGTTACCCTTGGGGAGCAATCGTCACTGAGAGCCTCGTATCGGTGGTGGCGAAATAAGCTTCTAGAGCAGCCGTAAAACGCGTCGTCACAACTTATATGAGATTTACAATTGAGTATTGTACTTTTGCCCTAATTTCTCTATTATTTTCATGGTTACAACATCATATTTTCAACACGTACTATGTATTACAGTTTTAAGTAAGTACAGTTGTTGTGTAAGGATGAGTTTTGGTGTAGTGTTAAGGGATGCGTTGGGGGGTCTTGATTCTAGGTGGTCTTCGATTCTGGTAGAAGCTGGTGCGGCTGTGCTTGGTGTGAAGCTAATGAGAAGACCAGGTTTTGGTTATTGATGACTTATTCTGCTTACAATTTCATAGTCTAAAGGGATAGATTAATTATACTTCTTGTGTTTTTCAAGAATTTACCACTTTTCATTTGAGGAAGTTTCACAAATATTGCACCTAATTTAGGAAACAAAATATCTATGTCCACACAACAAATATCCAATATACCAATAATATATCATTACTTTTAAAACTTCATTCTATAGTTTTGTTTAAATCACATGGATACTTTAGTATTTTTACCCTTTTCTCTCTTCCTTTTTTCCATTACTAAGAAAAGTGAACGCAACCTCTATGGTACAATAATAAAAGCATGGAGGAAGTGTATAAAACTTAATCTCAATTATAAATTCAAGGCTGTGGATGTTGACATAACATATCACATCTAGGTTCATTTTTAAGATAAGAAAAAACCATCATCCCAATTACAATTGTTGGAAATAATGCTAAGGAAACAAATTATTTGTTTTGGAGGAAAACTCTCTGTCCCATATTGGTAGGATAAGGAAGGTTTTACTTTGTTTAGATTTTGGAGGAAATGAGTTTGTCCTACATTGGTGGGAGAAGTAAGTTTTACTTGGTTTAAATATGTGTGTTTATGCTTTGGTATTTGAAATGTTTTCCCTATTGTTGTGGGCTAAAAGGGGGCATCCCTACACCCGCGCCGCCGATGCCGTCCGGCCGGTTCGTGGCACGTGCGCGGTGTGTTGTGCCTACCATTCTGGGCCAAGTCATAACTAACGGTCCAATTTTTATGAGGTTGTTCAGTTACGAAGCTCGCGACAACGTTTGACTTGATTTTTAAACGTTTGTAACCGTCGCTGATTTTTCTCCCCACTATTATTTCGTGGCTTGATTTCTCTCCAACGGTTACGATTTTCTTTCTCTTTAAAACTGATCTTTTGGTTGCTATTGAAACACATTGGGGGGGCAACGCCATCTCCGATTGCACCATAGTCGGGGTGAATTTTGCATCTAAGACAGTGTTCTTAACACGTCACAGCGTTATACATACATTAAACAATTCCGCCCACATTTCAATCCTTATTTGTTCTGATTTTACAATATCTCATCCAACAACAATTACAAGAACTAATGGTATGTATTGTGGATAAATTGATTTAAAAAATGGCTAACTAAAACCTTTTTTTTTTTTTGCAAGATCTAGATAAAGTAACATAAGAGCACCGCAATACCTTAAACCAAAAACACATCCACAAATCAATAATAACTATATACTAAAAGCAAAACCAGAAGTGACACATGTCATCTTCTGGTTGAAAATTTTCCCTCTTTCCTTTTTTTTTTTGGGTCAAATCTTCATTAAATATTACACAACTTAAAATATTTCCCTTGCATTTTTACAGTAATATTGGCTTCCATATACACTCAAGTATATAAGGAAAAAAATGATTTGATATATTTTCTATATATTTAATTTACAAGTAGGTGTTCTAGAAATAAATGAAAACATAGATAAGGCAATATATTTATAGAATAATATTATTACTTAACATTTTTGTATTATTATCATTATTCTATCTTTTCATTGCTCTAACTTCATTATTTGGATTTTGGGCAATGCATTTTATTTCAATAAATAAGATATTCACTTTGGTAATATATATTATGTATTATTGTATATACAATAATTTTCTGTTCTTAAAAGGCAAATCAATAATAGCATGTGTCGGAAAAAAAAAAAAAAAAAAAAAGTACATAGTATATGTCAAAATTTGGTGCAAAAATTTCCCACCATTATATTTCCAACAAATGTGAAGAAAAAAAAAAATTCTTATTAGTTAATAAAGTATTGTACTCCTTATTTGTTAAAGTGTGTGAATAAAATATGGATGGAGATATATATGTGTGTATATCACTATATCACACATGTGTTTCTCTTTATTAAATAAAGCCGTATAGTTCTTAAATTTCTTTTAATTTTTTTATAGAGTGGATCGGCTTAATGCAATAGTTACCCTTCATTATTTGGTATAAGTATTAAAATCAATTTATCGTGCTTCACTTAAAAAATATATTTAGTTTATGTAAACTATTGTTGAACTAACATTATAATTTATTGTAACATTGATAAAAACCGTGCATTGCACGGGACTTAAAACTAGTGCAAGAACTAAAGGTGTGCGATTGAGAGCCGGGCTAATATCGTTTTCAAATAGATCGACACAAAAATTAAGTACAGTACTAACAATACGTCGCAATAAGTTCAAATAAGTCAAGAGGCAATTGCCCTTATATGGATATCATGATCTTATCTCTTGACTTGAGATTAGTACATAACACTTAAACATACGATATATTTGAAAATGATATAAAGTCAAGAGGTGAGATCATGGTATTCATTTAAGATATATCTAAATTGCCCTTAATTTAATTTTAACGACTCTTTTAAGGTAGTTGGTACAGATGAGTAGAAATTTAAAACACAAATTACATGCAAATAATTCTAGTTACAATAAAAGAAAAAAAACCAAATAAAATGAATGTTATGCAAGCATCCAAATACCCAAAAAAAATAAAAAATGTACACTACTCAATTCTAAAAATTAATTAATCATCAAGCAAAACTAATGTACTTAATCAAATTCCGGAGTTGGAACTTCCTCTGGACTAGCCAAAACCCAATCTCCATCCTCATTCAATACCATGCCTTTGTTTTTTTCAACCCACCAAGATGGAGGCACTAAACATTCCTCCTTAAGAAAATCACATGATTTATTCACTAATGCAATACTTCGCTTAATTACGAGCTTAAACTCTTCCTTAACTCCTTGCCAACCATTCACAGCATGTAACATAGCTTGCAAGTTATGCCAATCACTAGGATTTTTCGAGTCTTTAAGAAAACTTGATTTCCTCGTATCAATCTCTAAGTCAATACCTATATTTACGTACCCCAAAAGTTTGAAAGGATAAAGAGGAATCAAATCGATCATATTTCTAACATGAAGGACCTTAAGATTAGGGTATGAATCAAATCTTTTCTTGAAGGCCTTGTTACCAACTTTTGGACATCCGAAAACAATAGCCGAAACCGGGATCTCCTTGGTTAGATTCTCAACAACATCGAAAGCACTTACGACTGATAGTGTTGCACCTAAACTATGGCCGGCGAATGTAATGCTAATATCTTCATCTTTGTACTGATCAATAAGTTGTTTAAGCTTAGTCAAAAGTTGTGTCCTTGCACTTAGTTTTGTAAAGGGAGATTTTGGATCCTCGGATGTGTATATTGTAAGCCAACCTTCCATGATTTTTGGTTCATCGTCTTCGTTATCAGCATTATCTAATAAAATACCAGTATAAGATAGAAACAAAGTAATCAAATCAAATAATCTAACATATACTGTATAAATATGGTTCAATTACAAAGTACAGAGTAAATTATTGTGATAATATATGTGTTGATTCGTATGTAAGCTTATTAGTAAATATGCCAATGTCAATACTCAATAGTAGAGTATAATTCACCCCGAAACAAGGTCTTTCATTAATCATGAACAAACGTTCTTTACCTATGTCACAAACAATTTTATTGTTGATAAGTATTAGGTGACTCGTACTTCGTAGCTTTGTCCGCCCGATCGGGCGGACATTGCCCGGTCTGACCGGGCGGTGGGGGTTGGATACGTTGAAGCATTCGTATGGAGTTTTCTTCTCGCGCCCGATCGGGCAGACCTTGCCCGGTCTGACCGGGCGGAGAAGGAAAAATGCGGAGACGCGGATTTTACGATTTAAAGTTATCTTTTATGTTATCTTTTTGCCCAAGTATCTTTTATTTTAGGGATTAATATAAAAACCTCCCTAATATTAGTATAAGGGTTAAGAGAGAGAGAGTGAGAGCCGTTCTTGAGAAATACAAGAATCATCTTTGTAATCTTTGCAGTTTATAGTGAAATCATTCGATCTCGGTGCCCGTGGACGTAGCTATCACATCGATAGTGAACCACGTAAATTCTTGGTGTTGTTCTTATTGTTTGCATTGAATTTCTTTATTGTTTTCTTGTTTGTTTTCGACCTTTGCTTCCGCTGTCGCACAACAATTGGTATCAAGAGCTCAGGTTCAATCCTTGGAGAGTTTCTTGAAGATAACAATGGCAGGAGATTCAACAATAAGAATTGAGAAGTTTACCGGGAAAAATAGTTTCGGGCTATGGCAAATTAAGATGAAGGCTCTGTTAAAACAACAGCAGATATGGCGTCCGTTGGCTCCAAAGAGTACTACTTCGGAGTCAGGAGACGGACCGACTGACTCGCAGTTAGAAGTTATGGAA